ATATATATATGGATTTGCTGTGGCTCTTTCCAGTCCTTTGGGCCATTTTAATGAGTACATGCAAAGTGTGGTTCTCTTATGTAGAAATTGGAGGCTGGAAGAGGATGGAAGATGAGGGAGAAAGAGAAAAAGGCAAGAACAATGGCAGTTACAATAATACAGACAGCTAATGTTATTGAATGCCACTAAGCGGTAGGCATCTCGCTATCTCTTCGAGGGGCCCAATTCAGCCAAATCCCTTCCAAAGTCCTATTATGTTAGTAGTATTGCCATGCACACTTTCCATATGGGACAGAATGAAGTATTGCATGCTTAATTATCCCCCAGACTCCCCATATTCTCTATGCCATACAAGGAAAAGTACTTTTTGTTTCTAGTGCTTGTTGGTTTGGGATTGAGCTCCTTCCAGTGTAGTTAGAGTTATCTTTAGGTGTCAGAGGGCAGAGGGTAGCTGTGTATCATCACCCTTGCCTCCCTCTTCCCTCTCATTTGGTAGGGCCTTCTGGAGACACTGTCTTTTCTCACTTTACATCATGCCATGGTTACATCTACCACTCTGCAAAATCTGTGTTCCTATTTGTTGACTAAGGATGTCCAGAGCATGGGAGTGGCCTAAGTGGACACACAGCCCTTGTCTCTGGAGAAGTAGCCCAATTACTTTGGCAAAAGAGGGTGTGGATCAGTGTTTGTAATTTGCCAAGATTTTTATATATTAGCCCACTTTTTTTTTAACCTTTCCCTTTTTTTCTCTTCCTCTTATAAAAACAGCTCAGAAAAATTTAAACTCTGGAAATGTTCTCTGAGTAGCTGCCTGCAAGAGTAGTCATAATCACCCCAGATAATAAATAATCACAAACAATCTATTTAGACCGAGCTACAGGGTTGGATGATGGGGACTCCTAACAAGGCCAACAACGGAACAAATTGCTTCTTGATCTCTCTGCTGAGAATACATTCATGTAAATCCGAGGAAGCTGAGCTGCCACCGCTAATCTACCATGGGTGGTGACTAATTTTATTAAGTGAAATACAAGAAAAAGAAAGATCCTTGCAGTAGCAGTGCACGCAAAGACGGTTGCCTCGGCCTGAACGCTGAGCCCCGTGGTGGTGCAGAGTGAGTCAGGCTGATTAGGCTGTGAAGCAGGCAGCGGCAAAGCAGAGCAGAGCCAGGACGGCTGCCAAGTTGCTCTGGGAAGCCTTCTGAGCACTGCCTGCATCCACTCCCCGCATCACAGGGGAAGGGAAAAACAACCACTGCTCTTGACTTTGAGGTAACCTTGCTCTTGAGTAGATGGGTCGGCTGCACTTGGGAAAAGTTCACCTATTGTTAATTTGAAGCCATTCTCACTAAAATTTTAATGCTTACAATTACAGACGATTGACTTTACTAAGTCCTGAATTTGTTAGGCGGATCAGCCTTTCTGGTACAAGCAAGATAAATAAAGCTATTCATGAAAAGGTGGGCCCTGTTGTGTTGGACAGGACTGTTTCTAATATATTTTCCTCCTAAAACAATGTGCCAGTGCCAGTATCTGGTAACACAGTCATACACATAGCCTTCCACTAAGCCATTCTACTCTTATTCATATGCTATGTATAGGTGAATGTATATATTCACAAAAAGACATCTGCAGGAAAATTTATTTATAATCACCCAAACTTTAAGTAATTCAAGAATTCCACTAACAGGAAAATGTATAATTAGAATGTATTATCTTCACAAGTGGAATACTACACAGCACTGGAAGAATGAAGTACTGATAAGGGAATAATATGAACTCCGCTGTCCTTGGTTACACAGACTCAAAACAAAGCAGATGCACGAGGTTGAAAATTTAGCCAAAGTTCAAGAGTAAGTAAAACCTATAGATGAAGATATAGGTGAGTGGTTATTTTTTTAATTCAGTAAGTTTATTGGTACATTTTAGACACATAATATGATGACATTCATCACTGGAAATTTGTACCTTTACATGATATATCTTGTTTCTTAGTCAATATTTCTTGAGCTAAGGTAGTATCTAGGAAGGGTAATAAAAAATTATTTGGAATGCTAAAAATATCCAGTGTCTTGTTCTGGGAGGTACTTACATGTGTATACGTTTATAAAGATGCCTCACATCGACCAACTAACATTGATTTTTCTCTACATATACAGTCAGCTGAATGCATGTTATACTTCAGTTAAGGAGCTAAAAATAATCATAGAGGAACAAAATAAGTAACACAAAATGATACAAACACTGTATCAGTTAAATAAAATACTTATGAGCCACAAATTTGATTACTGAACACATATTTATGTTCTGAACTAATGTTTCTAAAGATATTTCACCAAAGCTGGAACCTAAACTTATGTTTCATTTTTTGGGCAAAGAATTATGTTACCAAAAGAGTAGGTATTTACCCAATATGTATTTCAACCTCCTATACTTAATATAATGTTACATAACAGTTTCCTAGCTTTGAAATAATTCATGTATGTGTTGTAGCAATGAACTTTACATCAGTATAACGAAGTACTTGAGGTCCTTGACTTTATAAAGAGATCCGGTTTATTTAATTCATGATTTTGGAGGCTCAAGATTCACTATTAGGCAGCCTTGTAGATTTGGCCTCTTACAAAGATGGTGGACAGTGGCATATCATGGCAGCAGGGCATTTGTGTTGAAGAGTTACACAGCCAACAGGAAGTCAAAAGAGAAAATGGGCTCTCAGAAGTCCCTCCAGAAACAAACCCCAATAACTGAAGGGCCTCCAACAAGGTTTATTAATATACTCCTAACTGTTCTACCATTTTTCAACCTTGAAATGTTTCCAATATTTCATTTTTCATTCTCAGATTATTTCTTGATGTATACACCTTGCAGTAGAATATTCAAAGAACATCAACAAGTGCTCACTCCTGATTTTAATGCTATATTATTTCCAGAGGGATAGCTCTATTTATATTGTCATACACAATTTGTAAGATTACCTACTTGTTACATATTCCCCAACATAAGTTAACCAAAAATCATTTTTAAAAATTAAAGCGCAATATCTTCAAAACTGCTTACAAGAGCTTTACTTTTACTAGAATGGAGGCTACTTTCCCAAACATTAGCTAACTTTGTAGTTCTACAGATGTACATTATTTTCATTCATGTATTAAATAGACTCTATATAAACTATATATATATATATATATTAATTTCAGTGTTCTCTATTTTGAATAGTGAAAACTGATCAATTATATTTGGTATGTTTTCTTTTAGTTACTTTTGCAAATTATGATGTGACCGTTTTTTATCTAATGTCCTCTTCTTTACAATCCCCGTGTCTTTCTTTTCTTTAGTTAAATATGGTAATGTATATCTTTTGATATTTCAAAAATTAATTTTATATTCTTTGAGCTTTATTCACTACTATGTAAAATGTGAAGTCAAACAAAATGCTTTCAATAGGAATAGCCAAGTGCACCAAACAAGTATAAAATATTAACCACTGCTACTGTTTTTACTGAAATGGTCATAAAAGAATAAATATATTTTAAAATCTCAATTCTTATTCTGTTGACCATTTCCTTCTTACTTTTGAAAGTCCACTATCATACTGAGTTTATTGTCGTACAACTTTTTGTAAAGTTAGTAAGCAAATCTCTAACCAACTGTGTGTAGCTTTGTCTGTGTATCCATGTATCTCCTATTCCTTTGTTCTTCTTACTTGCCCCGTATGACTATATTAATATTTTGGAGGTAAAAATAAACATGTTTAGATTTAAAGTTTTAGGATATGCCATGAAATCTACAATAGGCATTTTATTGCATTTATTAATTGGTTTAGAGTACTACATCTTAATGTATTAAATCTGCCAATTCATGATGTGTTTATCTTTCTTTTAATCTTGGTCAGACTTAATAATCGATTTCTGTCTGTTTCCAAAGACTTTGGTTATAGATTTGCTGTGGCTCTTTTTTCACTTTTTATTGTATTTGTCATTATTTTTCACATCTCTTTATATCAATATTTCCTAGGGGATATGAGTTTTAGTTAATTTCTTATTTTTTTCAACTTCTTATATAGTCCATGGCGCGTATTACGTGAACAATAAATACTGACACATATTTACTTACAATTACTGGTGTATGTCATTGTCTTTTTGTTATGGCTTAGACAGCATGTCCCCCAAAAGTCTCATGGCTTCAGAGATGGGCCTTTGGGAGATAAGTGGGTCATGGGGGTGCTAAGCCAAACTGAATGCAGAGTCCAGCATGAGGCTAGGAGGTGACGCCAGGTCAGAAGAGGTGGGTCACTGAGGGGTGTCCTGGAAGGGTCTTTCTCTCTTCCTGGCTCATCCTTTCCCTTTCTGCTTCCTGGTTTTAATGCTGTCCAGTTCTCTTCTGCTAGACCCTTCCTTGTGCTCCCTTGCCAGCTGTCTATGGGTTGAGTCTTCTAAAAACTGTGAGCCAAAATAGAACTCTCCTCCTTTAAATTGTGGGTGTTAGTGTTTCTTTTGTTTTGTTTTTCTTTTACTGGCAACAAGAAAGAGACCAAGAAGACCTTTGTAGTAAGATTTGATTTGTTCCAATAACTAGATATGCTCCAGCTGAAACGGATAATCAGTGCTTATTATATCCTTTCTGATATTTTAAAATTGTGATTCATTTTGTTTTCTAAGATTTCAAGTTGCATTATGTAAGAATCCAAATACTTCTGCATCCTTTTAACATTGTATGAATTATGGTTTGAATGCTTCTTTTCACTGGGTTCTCACTTTTGTAATTTACTCCTGCCTCATTTGCAAGAATACAATTTCTCCCTTTTCCTATACTTGCGCCTTTAACGTCTATTGCTTCATGAATCTTACATCAGCATTGATCTTCTTGCATTAAATCAATATGGAGATACCTCAAAGAGCTTGGACTGGAGGTTCCATTTGACCCAGCCATCCCTCTGCTGGGTATCTTTCCAAGAGAACTAAAAGAATCATATCACAGAGAAGTATGTGCACCCATGTTTATAGCAGCACAGTTTGTAATAGCTAAAACTTGGAAACAGCCCATTTGCCCATCCGTTGGAAACTGGATAAAGAAGATGTGGTTTTTCTATAAAATGGAATATTACTAAGCCATAAAGAATGAGAAAATAGATTCATTCATAAGAAAATGGATACATATTGAAGATATACTCCTAAGTGAAATAAATAAGTCACACGTGTAAATACCGAATAGTTTCCCTGGTGTGAATAATCTGCAATAATACATAAGATTCTAATAAGATTACTGACATTTAGAAATGGGAAGAAAGGAGCTAAAGGTGTAGGGAAGGTGAGATGGGTAGGGGAAGGGTAAAAAGGGAAAAGAAAAAAATATGAGAGAATGAAAAGATGAAAATAAAGTGTTTGTAGATGGAGAGGGGAGGAGGGGGTGAAGGGAGGGCAGAGGTAAGGGGAAAAAATGAGAATCAAGACTTGTCATGTAGAGGTATAATATCCCAACAATGAATGTAACTGTACTGTATCCCTAAAATGTACCAATAAACTCAATTAAAGCTGAAAAAAAAGAAATTATGAATCTTACTTAGCAAATTTTATTCATTCTTTCAATTTTGACAAAGGATAGTTTCCAATTTTAATTTTTCACAAACTAAAGCTTGAATAAATCACATTAAATATGTCAAAAATTAAAAAAAATCTGATATTTAGAGAGCACAGACTTACCGTTTCCTGTTTCTAAAAGAAATGTAACCATGAATATCATGGTACAGAAACAACAACTGTTAAACGAGAGCTGAGAACATTCACAGAAATGGTCATGGTTACTTGGACCTAACATGGGTTCACTAATACAAACACTACCGACACGTGTTCACTTCCTTTCTACCTTTTTCTCACCTGGCTGACTGACAGAACAAGGGCAGAACAAAATCTCACCTTATCTTGGAGACAAATGGATGAAAGAGAATGAAGTTCAAATCTTGACTCAGTATTCTAAATTTGCTCAAATTTATTTAAGTCCAAGTCTTTCCATTGGTAAAGCCGGGATAATATTTCATAGATAACATCTATGACATTAATAGTGGCTCAGTAAATATTCTTCCTTCCTTAATATACTGAGAGATAGAAGAGTTTTCTTAGTTCTGCTTTTTAATATATAATTCATTAAATGTGTTAATTATTAAAATTATAGAGTACTATAATCCATTTTAAAAATGACTTCTTGCAAGACTAAACTTTTTGAAAGCAGAAAAATATTTACTGAATTCACTGTCTATATTAATTGCTTAACATAGTTCTTTTTTTTTTGCTTTCTTATCTTAGATATGTAATCAAATTTCACTGAAAGAATGATTTAAATCTTGAATTAATAAAGCTTCCCAGAGACCAGAGGCTGTATTTAAACTAATAATATGAAATTTCATTGAACAAAATCTATGCGTTTTAATATGTTGCAGAACAAAGATAATAAATTCACTGAGATAATAGATATATTGAAATGATACGTTATGCTAGTCAGGCTACATCTGAAATACAATCGCCCAAGCTCTGGCATCATATTTTGAGAAAGCTATTGAGGTAAAATACCCCAAAAAAGCATTATAAGAGAAGAGAATTTTAGGATGATTCCCTTCAATTGTTTCATTCAAAAAACTGGAGGAATGGGCAAGTTGGTGTCACAAATAGAAGATAGTGTAACAAAACACCTTGAGGGAACTCTCATCATATTTGAGGATTTGTCAAAAGATACCTTAGAGTATTTAGATATTTAAGTGTGATCTCATTAAAATATAATAATGACTTTGGAATTTATTTTGTAGGTAATAGTGAGGAACTAAGCCAGGTGTGGTGGCGCACGCCTGTAATCCCAGCACTTGGTAGGCTGAGACAGGAGGATAGCTGT